TATTGCACTAAATTAGGGGTCCTCAAACTACGGCCCCTGGGCTGGATAAGTGCAATGAATGTTTGTGTTGCTGCGGAGAGTCTCCCCCTTCGGGGTCTTTTTGTGGGGGTCAGAGGGGGGCAGAAATTCCGACTTGGGGTCTGCTTCAGCCTCCTGGTGGGGGGCTTTGGGCGAAGGCTGGAGGGAAGCATTGCTGGTGGCAAAGAGCCGGAGGACCACATTCTAGTGGGACTGCATCATGGCCTGGAACTGGCTGACCATCTCAGCCCGCTGAGCCTCCAGGCGCCAGTACCTAGCCTTGCACTCTTGCAGGTCTTCCCTCTGCTAGAAAAACCTATGCTCCTAGTCCTCAGTGACGTGCTTCTGCTGAGCCTCCTTCTTGGTCAGATCCAATTTGAACTGAGTTGTTTTGCCAACTCTTTCTAATGGTGGCTGCTTAGCTCCAGCAACTGCTTCCTGTTGGGGCCCTAAGGAGCCCTGGCGGGCAGGCAAGGAGTGGTTGGGAGGGGAAGGGCGAGTAGAGGCCGGTGAGGCACCCCTTAACATGAGTGACCACACCCAGCCAGCCAGTCATTAGGCAGATCATATTAGTGGTCTGCAGGATTTAAAATTATGAATTTAGTGATCCCTGAGGTCCAAAAGGTTGTTGACCCCTGTTTTAGAAGACCTGGGGGAGCTGGGAAGGGTTGCCAAAGGCGGTCTAATAATGCCAGTTTAGTCTTGTCCCATCAAACCGAAGCAGCGTAGACCAGGATTAGGCTGCATAACTATTTTCCTTGGGCAGCCCTGGCTAACTGGAGGCAGTGCATGAAAAGTATAGGTTCCATTGCATGTTATTGTATTTATTAAATCCAAAAAAACATGATCCAGTCTAAGGCCTAACACACAGAGTGACAGTTAGTTTCAGGTTAGTAGATTACATTCGTTTGTGGCTGAGTGCATAAAAGAAATGTACAACGTCAATTAAACAAAGAAGCCACTTCTTCTCCTCAGAGCTTGGTGAAACACCAATATTTCTGGTCAATATTTCCCTGAATCAAGCATAAATAAGGCAGAATGGGACAATTCGCCACAGCCAAATTGCCATGGCCCAGTCGCCACGGGAGACGTTGCCACAGTCAACTCACCGTGGGCCAACCCGGTGCAGGACAATTTAACAATTCAATTCAATTACTTAAAATAAATTAAAATATATTTTCATTTTTGTCATTCACATTTCATTCTGTCCCTTCTTTTGCATCCTTTCTTTAATGATTCCATTTCTCCTTCAGTCCTTCCGAGGTGGGTCAAATGAGGATCCAGATTGTTGAGGGCCAATATGCTGACTCTGTAAACCGCTTAGAGAGGGCTGTGAAGCAATGTGAAGCAGTATATAAATCTAAACACTATTGCTGTTTCTTTGATATTAGTGTAACTCTCCCGCGGTGAGTTGGCCGTGACGAATTGTCACAGACAATAAATAAGCGGTGTCTCCTTTTGATTTTCTTCTCACCCTGCAGGACTGGGATGGCAACAACGTTTTTGCTCAATACAGTCGTTTTGAGGTGGGCAATGAGTTGAGCGGGTACCGCCTCTTCCTGGGCAACTTCAGTGGCAGCGTGCCACGCGACTCCATGAGGTATCATAACAACACGGCCTTCAGCACCATGGACAAGGACAACGACAAGTGCTTGGATCACTGCGCGCAGTTACGCAAAGGTCAGCCGTGTGCCCAAAACTCCTCCTCTTCTTGTTATCAATGTTCGTTAAGTGGGACCCCCGTCCATCTTTGCATTTAAAGAACCCTCCCCAAATTCTACGTAGGAAAATCCATCCGTCCCGTAGCCCAGTTCCACCTGGTTTTTCAGGTTGATTGTCTCTTGCTCAGATTCCAGAAGGGCAACTCTTCCAAAGTGTTGATTGCTCTGTTCTTTGGATTTTCCCCATTTCTCTTAAGAGAACTTATGTTCTCTTGACATAAATCAAGTAGTCCTTGACTTATGAGCACAATTGAGCCCAGAATTTCTGCTCCTAAGTGAGACGTTTGTTATGCGAGTTTTGCCCCATTTTACCAGTTTTCTTGCCACCCTTGTTAAGTGAATCACTGCAGTTCTTAAATCAGTAGCACGGTTGTTAAATTAATCCAAGGGATTGCGTGACACCCCCCCCCCCACGGCACGGCAACCATCATAAATGTGAGTCAGTTGCCAAGCATCTGAATTTTGATCACATGACCATGGGGATGCTGCAGTGTGAAAAACGGTCTACACTTTTTTTCAGCGATGTTGTAACTTTGGACAGTCACTAAATGAACTGTTGTAAGTCGAGGACTATCTGTATAGCGTTTTGAGTCGTCTTCCTGCTCCATCAGGTATTCAGCAGTGGAAGAAAAAATACCTCCTCCACGTGGGATGAGTTGATTGGTATCATTTTCAATACAGGTCCTCCTCAAAGTACGACCACAATTGAGCCCAGAATTTATGTTGCTAAATGAGACATTTGTTAAGTGAGTTTTGCCCCATTTTGCAACTTTTCTTGCCCAAGTTGTTAGCAATTGTTAAGTTAGTCCCACAGCTGTTAAGCAAAACTTGACTTTGCTTCGTCATAAGATCACAAAAGGGGAATCCGGTGACCCTGGGACACTGCAACCGTCATAAATATGAACCAGTTCCCAAGCTTTGATCACGTGGCCATGGGGATGTTGCAAAGGTCACGAGTGTGAAAAACTGGTATAAATCCCCTTTTTTCAGTGCTGTTATAACTGAATGAACTGTTGTATGTCGAGGTAGGGAATGTTTAGACACGGCCGTCTCCCCGATGCTTTGTAATCCCTTGACCTTCAGAGATGAGGACCTTTTCAGAAGGATCACTCCATTGGCATCCAAGATTTCATAAACCTCTCATCCATCTTTCTGAACAGGTGGCTACTGGTACAACTGTTGCACGGACTCCAACCTGAACGGGGTTTACTACCGTAAGGATGAACACAACAAAAGCACCGATGGCATCATCTGGTACAGCTGGCGTGGGAAACTCTATTCCCTGAAGAGGGTCGAGATGAAGATCCGGTCCACGGACTTCAAGGCCTAGAGGGACCCCAACCGAGTCAAGGGGGAAGCCCTGTCCATTGATATCAAGAATGAGCTTACAGGCGGGGGATGCCCTTCATCAGTAGCAAGGCAGATGCTCGCCTCTTTCGGCCTCCACCTGAATATCTCTGGATCTTCCTGACAACAATGTTCTCTATCGGGATGCTCACCTGTTCCCCGGAATTAACGTAGATTTGCCTTTGTTTATTTCCCTGGTGGACTGGAATAGTGGATTGCTCCATATGGGAAGCTTATGGAAATCGGACGCTTAGGAGTTTTTTTTTAATTTTAATTTTTTGCAGTTGTAAACCAAATAGTGCTCTGTCCAAATGCCTCTTTCCCATCTGATAGTATAATAATTAAAAAAAAATCCTCTTGATTCTAAAACCGAGTTTGAGGCCAAGTATATAGTCCTCAGGACAAAAATGCTTCCAGTCAAGGAGAATTTCTGGAAATGTCAACCAACACGGTGTGTACCCTGTTTCCCCGAAAATAAGGCCTCCCTGGATAATAAGCCCAATTGGCCTTTTGAGCGCATGCGCTAAAATAAGCCCTCCTTGAAAATATTGCAACACGCCAGCATCCAATGAGGTGACCACACTCGTTGCCTCCTGCACCTCAAAAATAATAAGACCTCCCCGACAATAAGACCTCCCTGGATAATAAGCCCAATTGGCCTTTTGAGCGCATGTGCTAAAATAAGACCTCCTCTCAAAATAAGCCCTCCCTGAAAATATTGCAACACACCAGCAGCCAATGAGGTGACCACACTCGCTGCTTCCTGCACTTCAAAAACAATAAGACATCCCCGAAAATAAGACCAAGTGCTTATTTTGAGGGTTAAAAGAAAATAAGACCCTGTCTTATTTTCGGGGAAACACAGTGTATGTGTGTGTCAACAATCTGGTGTCAACAGTGTGAAGAATCTGAGATTACAAAAGGGTAATTTGGTTACTGGCAAAGGAGAGCTGTAAATCTTTGTTCCAGTGACATGGAGACACTCTCCCCCTCCCCCTAAAAAAAACCTTGGATAATATCAGATGGATATTTTGGTCCTGAGGTTTTTGGCTCTGTCTACTAACTATGCAAAGGGAAGGACAGAATTTAGCATGAGTAAGTTTTTCACACAGTTGTTTCTTGTTAAAAAAGAAAAAGAAATCTCCACTTTCTTCCTTGATTCTAGACGAGGGATGGCAAACCTCTTTGGAACTTTGCGCCAAAAAGGTCACGCGGAAACGTCGTGCATGTGCGCATATTTGTCAGGGCTCCGGAAAAACCAAACTTCCAGGTTCTAGTGCACATGCCCGCCCAATGATCAGCTGGCTGGCACACATGCGCGGGGCCAGTTTTCGGCAGTGCTGCGCATGGGAAGGGACCCCACTCCAAAATAGCTGAACACCAGACAATCAGCTGGCCGGCGCACATGCAGATATTGGTTTTCGGCACTGCTCGGCACGTGGACAGCTGATCATCAGGCACCCATGTGCAACAGGAACCCAGAAGACAAACAGGCAAGGCCGTGGGTGCCAGGTGACATGGCGCCATCACGGCTCTAGACAAATTTCCCCAAGCAGGAACCACATGTTGGTGTTGCCAAGCTTAGGGATAACTCCAATCCTTGCTCTGGAATTGTTCCTGGCAAAAGGACGTCCAGAGAAATGCCGCATGGGTTTACCGACCGAGAGAGCAAAAGGGAAACAGCCTACCTGATGAGAGACTCGAGGATGGCTGGCGTGGGCCCCTTCTGGAATTCCAGCTCTTTGTAGTGTAGGGCCTTGGCATAGGCTCGGCACTTGGCAGCCCGCTCTCCCAGCAAGACAATGCCGTTGTCGTCCCCCAACGGCAGCGGGCCCTGCGTGGAGGAAGCCGCACAAAAGCATCAGGGCTGTGATGGGAGGGCAAGACTCCAGGGCAATCTAGAGCAGGGCCCCCCAACCTGCGACTGAGCCATAGTAGCTGGCCAATGCATGCACAGGTGTGTACGCGCACAGCAGTGCTCGCGTGTCACAAGCATTCTGGGCGTTCACTGCCCCACTTGCATGAGCAACCGATGTGTGCGCATGGGTCTGCCCTTCCCATGAAACCATTCCCTTTCTTCCCCCCCCTCCCCCCAGGCCGCCAACTTGGAAAGGTTGGGGAACTCGGATCTAGAGAACCTTATGTAAGCAATTAAATGCAAGCTTATTCATGAGCCCTGGAGGCGCAGTGGTTATTATTATTACTATTACTATTATTGTTGTTATTAGCATATGGCATTGTTCTGTACCCAGGAGACCACTAAGCTACTGCAGAGTTGTAGTGTTGCGGCCTATCCACCACCAGCCCCTCCAGCAGCCAAATCAGAGGAGGAGGAGGAGGCAGAGTGCGAGTCAGGGTCAGCATCAGAGCAACCTGAGAGCTCCGAGAGGGAAGAGGGAACAGAGTTGGCAGAGAGGGAGAGACAGAGGCGGAGCCTGGGCCGTCCGTCAGCCCTCAGATGGAGAGTCAACAGCCCCCAGCTCTGGAGGTGGCTGATGAGGAAGAGAAACAGCTGGGTCCATTGCCTGATGCACGGATGCACAGAAGTCAGAGGAGAGCAGTGGAAATCTATGGGCCGGTCCTTGGGATGGAAGAGCCACTGCTGCTAGCGAAGCCCCTCCCTAGCTCTGGGGATAAAAGGCAGGGGGCGGAGATGAATAGGAGTGAAAAACAGCTAATTGTCTTCATTACCCTGCGAGAGAAACTTTTTGCCAGGGCTGCCGGCGCTCCTAATAATCTTTTGAGTTGAGTTTGTTGTGTTTGGGGAGCTGGGTCAGAACACGTAGTTTGACTTGCCAAGGTACCAGCCCTGTTATAGGAAATGCTTGCATGCTTCCTAAGGTGCGCCACAGGAGGGTGAGCTGGCTTTGCACCAGAGAGAAAGACAAGCGACTCTTCCGGCAGTGTCACTCAAGGATCCTCTCCCTTCCTGGAGCTGCCTTGCAAACAGGCACCACAACTAGGAAGGGTCAGAACCACCCCGGAATCTGACTGCCTGCACAGAGCACGTCTCCCCATCAAAGGGGTATCTATCTATCTACTTGCATGGAACATGCTTTCGAATGGTTAGGTAGACAGACGGTGAGGTGAGTGACAGGAGCTCACCCTGCCACGCAGTGCTAGAGCTTGAACTGCTGGAGATGAGACCATTTCCAGCGTCATTAAGCCACTGTACCATTTGGTACTGTGGTTAGAATGTAGTAGTGCAGCTTTACTCTGCCCACTGCCCACAGTTCAATCCTGAGCAGCTCAAGGTCGACTCAGCCTTCCATCCTTCCGAGGTCAGTAAAACCAGATGGTTGGGGGCAAGAGGCTGACTTTGTAAAACGCTTAGAGAGGGCTGTAAAGCACCTTGAAGCGATTTATTAAGTGCTATTGCTATTTCTGCATTATCAGCAAAGTCACCTGTGCAAGATCAGAGCAAAGTTGTTAAAAAAAAGAAAAGAAAAAGAAAGTCAGAAAAATTCCACCCTGACGTGCCTTACCTTGTCGCTGTGCTCCATGAACTCCGCCAAATTGAGCAGGGTCTGGGTGACCTCAGCAATATCTTGAGACGTCAGCGCCAGCTCGATGCTACGGATCAGCTCATCCTGCTGGTCTTCGTTCAGCTCAGACCAGCATGAAACAAAGGCTGCATTAAACAGATCTCTGGGGGTGGGTGGGAGGGGGAGAGAGATGCAAAAGAAGGACACGCAGAATGAAAGAATAAATCTTCCAACATTGAACATATTACTTCACTGATCCAAACTGAACCCAGAACCCACCTCTCCTTAGAGTCCATAACTGCACAGGAGAGAATTTCTAATGGAAACAACCATCAGACCTGGGAACTGACCAGCAACAGGAAAATCTTTCTTCTCAAGCTACCCCTTAATAGTCTTTCAGCATTCAAACAATTTTTTCTCTGTCCCATTTGCTACGTTTTACTGATGTACGTCACCTACCCCCTCCAGCGTTCAAGCACGGATGCATAACTCACTATCCTTCCTTCCATTTTCCCCATCAAGCGCAAGTACTTAAGTCTTGAATGTGTTCATCTTCAAATGGACAGCATACGAGCGATTTAACCTTTGCTGTAAAACATTCAGGTTCTCAACCAAACACCCGTCAGCCTCCAAAAGTTCACATTCCAAATGTCCATGGAGATTCTCAGTCATGGTTGTCGCAAAGATGCTTTTTCAAGAGGCAGCTGGACTTTCTTGTGGAATACAGGTGAAGAGGGAAGTCACATCATGGGAAACCATTGTTGTGGTCCGCCAGTGGCCTGGCAGCAGAGTCGGACAGTGAGGAGGTTGGGGAGGAACATGGGCAAGTCCTGGACTCTGGGGAAGGCTCTGTGTCAGAGGCAGAGAGGGGCCAGGGCCATTTGAGAGTTATGTGCTGCCTCCAGAGCCTCCGGAGTTGGACATCAGAGAGGCCAGGGAACATGGGGTAAGTGTTCCCACTGCACGCATGCAGAGCTGCCAGAAGGCAAGAACAGTTAAAACAAAAGGGACAACTTGGGAGTAAGGCTCGGAGGTGATTGGACCCTCCCACAGGACATAAAGGAGGAGCAAAGTCACGTGAGCCTTTGCAGGAAGCAACTTTGTTCATGCTGGTTTAGTTCTGAAGCTCCGTTTGCTCTGTGTGGCCTTGCCAAGCTAATTGCTAATTAGATCTTTGGCAGCCTTTCAAGGAAGATAAAGCTGCGTGCTTATCAGCCTTATCCCAAAAGACTTTGGCAGACTACCGTTGGACTCATTACGGGGTGATAATGAACATAATACACAGCCTTTGAAATAAAAAGAGGGGTTTTTTGGGACTAAGCATGTGCTTTTCCCTCCAACAATCACCCCTCCTACTTCCCTTTCCCCTCCTATCTTCCTTTCTCGCCTTTCTCACCCTCCTTCCCCTCTCCT